ATGTTACTATGGTTGTAGTCTTATACTGCTCCCGAATTCTAGACTTTTGATATAACAATTGTCCACATACAGGTGTTATTCTTACAGCTTGCATTCAGTGTGTATAAAGCTGAATTATTTATATTATTTTCCTCAACTAATTCATTGCTGGCCTCTTAATCGGTTGTTTTGTTTTGTTTTGTTTTTTTTACTTCTTAATGATGATCTTCCTCAATTCACACACTATGTGCTACATAATACTTCTTTATTTGAAAGTCCCCTTTCACACCCTAGGGTTAGCCTGGAAAGTTTCTAACCATTGTACTTCGAGGTCAGGAAATAAAAAAATCTGACTTGTGTTTGGTTACTGTCTTCCAGCCTCCTCGCTCCCCATATGTAGTTATCAAACACACAGGCCCAGCAAAGTGTGTATCAGCAGGCTGTGTTGGTCTGACCTGGTGGTGATAGAGTTCAAAGAGGGACTCACAAAAAAGGAGAGACGTTAGCAAAGGATGGCTGAAGGTCCTAAAAGTGAGAAGAATGATGAAAATGAGAGTTAATTCTTTTATCATTTAACCTTATACAGAAGATATTTTTTGTTTTGTTTTGTTTGAGACAGGGTTTCTCAGGGTGGTTTTGGTGCCTGTCCTGGATCTCACTCTGTAGCCCAGGCTGGTCTCGAACTTACAGAGATCTGCCTGGCTCTGCCTCCCGAGTGCTAGGTTTAAAGGCGTGCGCCACCACCGCCTGGCTTGAAGATATTTTCATTATCTTTGCAAAGGTGTATTTGACATGGAATTTGAGGCACATTGTGAGATTGCTCTCTGCGTGTCTGTCTGTCTCTCCCTCTTGTCTTGCCCTGTGTGTGTGTGTGTGTGTGTGTGTGTGTGTGTGTGTGTGTGTGTGTGTGTGTCAGAGGTAGAAATCACAAATCTTCCTTGATAGTTCTCTGCTTTATTACTTTTTTTTTTTTTTTTTAAAGACAGGAGCTCTAAACCTGGAGCTTATCAATTTGGCTAGAATGCCTGTTCACGGTAACCAAGGGAACTACCTGGGTATGTTCCAAATATAAACCCTGGGATTAGAAACACCCACTTCTTTTCTAGACTTACGTGAGGGTTCTGGAGACCCTAACTCAGGTCTTCAGGCTTGTAACACATATATACTACTGAATGAGCAAACTTGCTGTCTCCCTCTGGCCGTCTTTTGTAGAGAAGTTTAACTCGATCCGCTATTCCCTCAGTCTCAGAACCAGTGTCTAGGACTAAAGTACAGTATTGAAGCAGACATCACCAGATTTCACATCTACGCTTTCCAGTTTGTTCAGAAAGTACATGTGTGTCTAATAGATTACAGTGGTGTGTGCCTTACTAAAATAGATTTGTCTCATGGAATACAAGTGGAAACAAATTAAAGAGAGCACACACAAGAGCCCATGCCAGCTTGCCACTTCACAGTGCTCAAAGTAGTGTTACCCTGAAATATATGTAGTAGACAATTTCACTACCTATCCTTGGGTTGTTGGAGTTGTCCTTCTTGGTATTTTGTAACCAAAGCCTTTCAATTGGTAGCATAATCATTAAAAAGGAACAAAAAAGAAAACCTTTTTTTTTTTTTTTTAAACTTAAATCACTCTCCCTCTTTGGAAGTGTGTGTGTGTGTGTGTGTGTGTGTGTGTGTGTGTGTGTGTGTGTGTGTGTGTGTGTTTGTGTGTGTCTAAGTCTAAAAGATAAGGTAAATAAAAGGAAAAATAAACAAAAAAATTTAAAGCAGCTCTCATGGAATTAGCACAATGCAGCTAGAAATACTTTTTTCATAATTGTGAAGACATTTAACATTACACTAAGAAGTTATTTGAATAGCTAACTCGGTAATGCTATAGTCTCCAGGAATGTATTCCTTTAAACAATGCATACATCATTTGTGTTTTGTCACTGGGTTACCGAAATGGATGAATTTTATGTTAAAAGGAAAAAAGTTTCTACAATTGAACTTGGAGCTTTGTACAAAATATCACAGAGGTGTGGGGGGGGTCATCTTTATAGGTCCAAAATAGATAACATGGAAAATTTGGGCCTCCACATTTTAGTTGACTTTGCATCTGTCTAGTGTTTGGTTCTTAATGATATTTTTGACAGTGACAACCCAGATTAAAGCTATGTCAGTGTTTTGACAAAAATGACTGATGAGTTTAATCAGCCAAATTGTCCACTTAGACCAACATGGGCTCTGTTGGTGTGGTTTGCTTATGTGTTGTTTCTTTGTTAAATTTACTTGATTTCAACTGAATTGACTAAATCAGCATAGTATTAACCAGATAAATACGGCATCCAGAACAGCTACAAAATAATTCTCCTTAAATAGCTGTATCAAGGTTAAGGAATAAATTGTCTCTTAACAAATGTTCAAAATTTATTTTAAGGCATTCTAAAATTTATGTGTTTAAATATGTTTTCTGAAAAAGAACACATCCATGTGATTCCATTAACAGACAAAAGTCATGAAACTGGTTTCATGAACTGGAGCATTTTTTAATCATTCATGTTTTTACTTTTAAATTCAAATAAGCAAAACTGTCTTTATTCTTGAAGGTAAAATCTTGATATCAGAAAAGTGTGCATGTTTGACTGCTATGCAGATTTCTGAATGGTAAACAGGAATATTTTATTTTAGGAACAGTAGGAATTAAATTTCTTCTTTGTGATAATACCCTGCCAAAATGTGACCCAAAGTAAACTAAGAAAATAACATTATAATAAGACTTCGTGATGCTAATGTCATGAGGATCATGATGTCTGTGATCAATGTTACGGGTGTGCTACATTTGTGTGTGTGTGTGTGTGTGTGTGTGTGTGTGTGTGTGTGTGTGGAAGAGAAGGAAAATAGAGCATAAAGGAAATATAAATGGGACCAAGTGAACAATGCAGCCAGAAGTACTTTTTCTTATTTTTTAAAGATCTTTAAAAAATTTTTCTTACTTATATGTAAACATGTGTGCCTGTGTCTGGGTACATATGCATAAGTGTAGATGCCCAAAAAGGCCAGAAGAAAATGTCAGATCCTCAGTATCTGGAGTTGCAGACAGTTGTGAGCCCCCTGATATGGGTCTTGGCAGCTAAACTTGGATCCTATACAAGAGTAGTATGTACTCCGGAACTCTGAGTCCTCACGCTAGCCCTAGCCACAACGACTTTAGGTAACATGTGTAGCATAAATCTTAGAAGGTCTTATTAATAAAATCAAACCTGAAGCCAGTTATTGGGGTGAATACTGGAAGATCAGAGAGACAGAACAAGCCACAGCTAACCTCACCTGGCCAACTTCTCAGCTGATCTTGTTTCCTCAGACTGGAAGCTTCTGTGTCCTCATATCCGAATGGCTCTCAGCTGAACTGTGCTGCTCAAAACCTAAAAGCTTAACCAGCCAAATGCTTCTAGTTTCTGGTCTTCACGCCTTATATATCTTTCCTTTCTACCATCACTCCCTGGGATTAAAGGTGTGAGTCACCATGCTTGGCTGTATCCTTGAAGAGATGGATTTATGCCTCTGGAATGCTAGGATTAAAGGCGTGTGCTATTAATGCCTATCCTAAATATCTAGTGACTTTTCTCTTCTCTGACCCCAGATAAGTTTATTGGGGTACACAACATTTTGCGGAACACAATACCACCACAAACATGATCAGTAGTTTTACAAAGAGTCTATGACACAAACATAGAAATATGATAAGTCTATCTTTTTTTTTTTTTTTTTTTTTTTTTTTTTTTTTTTTTTTGGTTTTTCGAGACAGGGTTTCTCTGTGTAGCTTTGCGCCTTTCCTGAATCTCGCGCTGTAGACCAGGCTGGCCTCGAACTCACAGAGATCCGCCTGCCTCTGCCTCCCGAGTGCTGGGATTAAAGGCGTGCGCCACCACCGCCCGGCAAGTCTATCATTTTAAAATTTGAAAGAACAGATGTTTTCAAAGCAACCATTGTTTCTGAGGTCAAAATTGTTAGAACATTAACCTTGTTCTGCTGCATCTTTTCACATCCCCATCTCCTCACAGCCTTTTCTTCCACATTTCGTGCTTAGAAAGCAATGGAAAGATCCACTATTGTAAATACTATTATTATGGATGCACTCATTACGGAATTAACCAACTGTGCAAATTTAATCTGTCCCTTATGTTTACCCACGACTATGTCTCTTATTTTTAAATCTACTTCTTTAAAGGTTGGTAAATACTTCAGCTATAATTTCAGTTATATGTTTTAAGGGAGACTTGGTCAGTTTTTATGACAATTAAACATTTAACTTTCTTCCAATGATATCCTGGAAAGGGAAAGGGAAAATGTTAAAATTGGCATGAACCGAAATCTTCTGCAGCAAAATTAAGTATATATATATACACCAATCACTTAAAATGTGAGAATCTGAACATTTGCTTGTAACAGCCGTAGAGGATTCATGTGGATATTTTGTGATATTACAATATTTTTACAATATACCATGTATAAACTTGGGCACATAAGTCACAAAAAAAGAAATAATATAGGCAAAAAATGAAAACTTTTTTTTTATAGAAATAAGGTAGTAAATGAAAATAGACACCATATGCTATTGTTTGTTTATAATATTGGCTAAATTTATATGAATTGGTTATATTTAATTTTGAAAAGTAGTATGGAATTGGTGAACTATATTTTTTAAATGTTTTTCAAAACAGTTATCTACATTTGGCATATGCTTCTCTTAGACAATCAATTTCACATTAAAAATTCAGAGTTTCTTTTTTGCCACTGTTCTGTAGAAACAAATTTAGGATTTAAGAATTTATTGTTAGATTAGGGGAGGTTGTGATTTGTTGTTACTAAGAGGAGAAATATTCTGTATTACTTTAAATGATGAATCCTAGCTGTGTTAGCCCTTGTTCAGGTTAACCCAGATGCTGGGGAAGCAAATGCACGTAATGTCCTTGCATATACAGTGATGATGATGATGATGATGATGATGTCTTTTCTCCCTCTTCCTCCTCCTCCAGCTTTCAGCCGTGCCCCAATTCCCATGGCAGTGGTCCGCAGAGAGCTCTCCTGTGAGAGCTACCCCATTGAGCTCCGCTGTCCTGGCACAGACGTCATCATGATCGAGAGTGCCAACTACGGGAGGACAGATGACAAGATCTGTGACTCTGACCCTGCTCAGATGGAGAATATCCGATGTTATCTGCCAGATGCCTATAAGATTATGTCTCAAAGGTACGGTGCCTCCAGCCTCCAGACTTCTTCCTTGCACATATATCAAGATTCAACATAAATCTGCTTGATAGACTGAGTGTGGATAAGACTATAAAGTGGCGCATGTTTTAGAAGAATTTGGCAGTTTCCACTGTAGATCACTCCTCCTGTCTCTGGAATGGTTGGTGCTGTAATCCCCACCATGGCACTTGGGCAATAGAAAACTTATTAACACTATTAGTAAGTTTAATGATGCACTCTGCCTGGTGTTATGTTCCGACAGTGTTCTTTAAAAATGATTTGGTTATCTAAGAGAAAAAAATTCATATTTTTTCCAGAATTTTCACTAAAATACAAGTGCAGAAATAGTCTTATTCATAATTATTTCCTAATTATGTAAGAATAATAGAGAAAACAGAAAGCTGGGTCAGGGTCCAGAGATACTGCCTAGTGATTTAGAGCAGTCGGTGCTCTTACAGAGAACCCACACGGGAACCAAACACCAGCTACTGTCTGTGACTCCAGTTCCAGGGTCTCTGACCTCCTCTTCTGACCTCTATTGACACCTGGACACACGTGGTGCACATGCAGATAAGCCAACACACACATACACATAAATAAAAATAAAATAATCAAATAAATGGGTAATTTATATAATCATTAACAAAAACACAGTAAAAGATCATTGATGAAGGATTATTTGACCTTGGAAAACAATGAAGAAAATACTAATTTACAATATGTTACTTGAAATGTATTTAATACTGTTGTCTATTTAAATTATTACCATGTTGAAATACATGAAGTAAGGTAGCATATAATTTCATGAGACAAGGGAAAATGTTTGATTTGGAGGGGATACGTTTATTTTCATACAAAGAAGATTTAAGATTTATCATAATAAAAATTCTTTATAAATAAAGTTAATTATTTATAGAGAGACATATACATATATACATATACACACACACACACATATATATATCTATATAGAGTGAAAGAGAGAGATACATACATTAAACATTTGTTCACTATTTCGATGATTTCTCAGAAATAAATTGTTATGCACTTTGTATATATATCCATGCTTCCTACTTTGTCGGCATGATTAGTTATTAAGTAATGCATCAGTAAGTGATAACTTTTCTGAATAATTTTATAATTGGATAGGGTCACTTTTTCATAAGGATTTTTACTCAGATAATTTTTATTATTCCATTAAGGAATTATTTTAAATGAGCAGAAATTAAAATACACAGAAAACTCACCAAATTGAAGACTAGACACAAACAGAAAGCAATGCCCACTACTCTGTCCCTAACCTCAGAGGTAAATAGTAAGACATGCAGCAGAGTTGGAATCATCTCTATTTTGGCTTACAAAAACTATCCTTATTTTAACCATTTTTCTGCTCTTAAAATAATTTACTGTTGTTTGTGTGTCCACTGTGCAGGAAGTACACACATGTCATTGTGGATGCATAGGGGTCAAAGGACCATTTTATGGAGTTGGCTTCCTCCTTCCAGCTTTACCCGAGTCCAGGGATTAAATTAAAATCTCCAGCTTTGGGAGGCAAGCTTCTTTATCCACCGAGCTGTCTCACTGGCCTCATTTTATCTTAATATTTAAAATTTTGTGTATTTTTGTGTGTGGTTCGTACACTATTAGAATCAATGTCTTTAGGCTAATGATAGATGTATAAATTACTAGAAGAAATTATAACTTACATGTCCAATGAGCAGGCCATTTGAAAGATGTTGAAGGATACTTCTCTTCACACATGTCATGGGATTTGGTTTGTCTGTTGCTAAAACAGATGCTGGAAAAACATAAAATTTTGAAATTAAGGGTCCATTTGATAAGAGTTGGATACATTGTTTACTTGTGTGTCTGTCTGTATTATAAAACTGACAAACTTCTATCTAATTTAAATAATATGTTATATTTAAGAGGATTTAAGTCCTTTTTTACTCATGCTGGTGTAATGTTCCCCCTGGAAAGGTTTATGATGAGTAGCATAGTGGCTAATAGTCATTTATTTCAGTTATGTAATCAAACATAAGATTGAATAGATTCCATAGTAAGTGTACTAAATGAAGGATCCTAGTTTTTTATGTTTATGTAAATGAAGTATATATCAGAAGCATTAACTTGAAATTGTTTTAGTGTATTCATTAATACCGTTTAAAAACAATCCATTAATCTTGTAATTACTACAAAAATTATTAGTAATGGATCCTCTCAATAAACTGAAGTATGTAGGTTATATACACATAGTGGCAAATCTGTAATGGAAGCCTGCCTTCAGCACTAACTAAATCCTTTGAGTAAATCCTCCTAGTAAGTTCTGAATAGAGATTTTTCAAGCTGTCAGATGACTGTGGCCATTCACCTTTGGACTGTTAGGTCTACTGCATTTTCAGTTTGCAAAATAAATATTTTGATCCTCATAGAGAGAAGTTTGAGACCCTCTGGTCAGATGGCCAAGGCTACCCATCTCCTTTATAATAAACTGCTACAATGTCATGCCAGCCAGAGCATGTTAAATGATGGTGATAGGGATACTGTGCTAATAACATGGATATGTTAAGTAGGTGAATACATTAAAATGAAATAAAAATGACAAGTAACATTTCTGAAGTATATATTAGATAAATGGATTTTTTCGTTGTCAAATTTAAGCATTTAAAAAAAGATTGTCTCAGTGTATAAATATTAAGTATGTCTTGAGGGAAGATTATTACAAAGTACAAAAGTACAAAATATTACAAAGTATTATAAGTAAAAATTATTGTTATTATATCCTTGCATAAACTTGTGAAAAAAAAAAAACCCTTCTAACTTACTCACTTAAATGTAGCCTTTATACAGATGAGACAAAGACACATAAAATGCATTTTATGTAAATTTTGGAAAAGTTACATAAATTGAAATTTGAACTAACTTTTAAATTAAGTATGAAAAATTTGAGCATTGAATTAAAAGAGATATGACAAGATGTCCACATTTGTCTGCAGTAGAGCTGTCCTATCTGGCATCCCATTTGTTCAGAGTCCTCAGAATTGCCTAGACTTGAGCCTGGGATGGCTTTGAGCTCTGGGTTTGATCTGCAGGGAATACACACACACACACACACACACACACACACACACACACACACACACACACTGTACCTACTTTTACCAAATCTAAATGATCATGACATTGTTCTCATCTGCTTAGCCTCCTTAATATTCTATATTTATTGCTCTATCCTTTTCATACTGAAGGATTAGTTCAAATGACATTGTACATTTATTTATCCTTCTGAAACTTCACATTTCTCCTTATTGTATGTGTACATCAGGTAGTCCAAGTTACCACACAGCATGTTCTCTCTTTTTTCTGATTGTAAGTTTCAGGAATACCAAATCAATGTTTTTCAGTGCAACCAATTTTAGTGTCTAAATGGGTAAAGATGTAATGCTCTCTGATTTAGTTACGCTCATTAACAACTCCTTCAACTTTGATATTTCCATGCCTTCTATTCTTTGCATGTTGTGCTTAGGTATTTTAGAGACTCTTTTAGAAGAAATATCTGACATAGCTTTTGTGTCTTAGTGTGAACATAACTTTTAGCAACTGCATAACTTCTGGAAGGTTCCATGTGGACTTCAGCTAGAATTCAGTGTTGCTTTCAGCTATTAACTCTAATGTTTGAGTCATTAACTCAGCCAGCTCTTGAAAGTACCGAATGGGGTTCAGTATGACAGTTAGTCAGACTTGATGGATAAATAAGCTAGGCATGGTTCCTGCACATAAAATATCCTGGACAGATAAAAGGCAGCCAGCAGGATCATTTACTAAGCATTTTAGTCCTTCCTCATTTACATTTATTGAGGAGATGAAAAGAGGAAATTTCATTCTGGTAGGTAACATCAGAGAGCCTGTTGGGCGGGAAGGTGTTAGAGTTGGCTCATTTCTGTGCAAGCTGTGTAAGCAGAAGGACATGGAAGAGGCACAGGTGGAGTGGCCTCCTTCTTTTAGCTTCTCCTACTGTGGCTTCAAAACTTACTGTTGTTCAGCTCAGGATGTCCCTGCATTTCATTTGGCCCACTCCTCTCTAAAAATGCCAATGCTTGGAGTCAAACTCTTCCTTCAAATCCTTCCTTGTAAATCAGGAACACATGCTATTAAGATACCATACAAATGCTAGATCATACATGAGCTTGATAAATTCGCTTATTTTATTTTTGACTTGGAATCCTTCTTATAAATTGGACATCAAATCCCTTTAAGTATAAGAAATCTGAATGTCATATGTAATGATTTCTGTGCTTTCTTTTTTAGTATATATCATAGCATAACTAGTCTCATAATCTTAATATATGTATGCTTGCCTATAATTTTTTAAACTACAAAAGCACTTGCAGAGAGGCATGCGTATGTTTATGTGTGTGTTTAAGTGAACATGTAATTTCACTGACTTGTACATATAGAAAATTGCACAAATCAAATGTGTACAGCTCAAGGACTCTTTACACACTGAGCTCATGCATGTGTCCAACAAACTGTTGAAGACAGGGAACATTAGCCAGACCCCTCCCTAAGGACATCTCAGTTCTGACTTTGAACAACCTAAATTAGTTTTTGCTCATTTTGTAATTCAAACAATGACTTTGTATAAGATGTTCTTAAATGTAGCCTTTCTCATTCACTGTATTTGTTGCTTTCCTTTGTCACTGATGTTTTTTGTATGCCATATCTTTGTCATTTCAAGTATAATTATTTTCTAACACTTTTATAAAGCAGGGCAACCTTCAAAATGAGTTGGTTTCAGAATATTCGTTGCTGCTAATTTCCCTCTCTTCTCACAATACCATGACTTAACCTGTATTTTTAAAATATGTTTACCTTTGATACATATTTGAGGCTAAAAACATGTATTTAAAGTCAAGCTAACTTTACTTAACTTCTCATTGGGGTCATGGGAGAGAGACAGAAAAATAAATGAAGACAAAAATAAGTCTGTCGCTAGCATT